AGAAGGGGATCTACTCACAGAGTTCCTGCTGATTGGAGCAGACTTGGCTTTGGCTTTGTGTGAAAGGGGCCTTACATTCACCTGACAGTCTTTCTGTAAATGTGAATAGGAATGAATGAATAAGAACGTTCCTCTCCATCCAAGAGAAACAGAAGTATCTGGTAGCTGCTCACCAAATACGTGACACATTTCTGTCATTACATCACTACCTATAGGAGATTGCATTGTCATATTCTTCACATCATGGGCCTGTGGCTCTGCCGTTAACCCTTTCTTATTCTCATAACTGTGAGTCTGTGGCTCCTCCTTAAATACAGGGACATTTTCCAGAATACTCTCACCCACCAGGGTGGCACCATAGTTGTCAAACCTCTGGTCCTGACTCACTGAGCCCCTCGGAGGTGTCCAGCTGCACCAGACATGGTTTCTAGGGGAGATAACACAGTTTCCTCTGTGGTCACCCCTTCCACACTTACTTCAGCATTTTGTCTGCATTCCCAGCAGCAATAAACTTCACAATTTCGTCATTGGTACTAAAAATGAATGATGGGCTGAGCACCGTCCTGTTCGGTTTGCGGTTGAACATCCAAACCTACAGAATGTTCGTCTATGAACTTCGAACACGAACAATTTACTGAGCGGTATCTTACTGCATCTGAGTATGTGGTAAGATATCGCTCAGTTACTAAAATACGACATGAGTTACTGTATATTATGTCATGCAATATTTTAGTAGTGAGACTTCATTCATATTTCAGCTGTCAGTGGGGTTCCCCTCTGACAGCTGAATGTAAAAAAAATTGTCGACATTGCCTGACAATTAAAACATTTTCTTTTTTTAAAAAAACAGCATGGGGTCCCCCCTCCCATCCATTCCAAGCCCTTCGGGTCTGGTATGGATTTTGAGGGAAACCTCCGCATTAAAATTAAAAAAAAATGTTTTGGGGGTTCCCAACATCCATACCAGAAGACCCTGGCACCATACCCCCCAAAGCACCTTGTCCCCATGTTGTGGGGGTCTGCGGGGTGGGGGGCTTGTCAGAATCTGGAAGCACCCTTTAACAAGGGGGTCCCCAGATCTGTGACCCCCCCATGCAAATGAGTATGCAGTACATGAGAACGCTACCCATTCACAAAAAAAGTGTAGTGTAAAAAAAGACAGGAGACAATCTTTCACAAGTTCATTATTAGAGATGAGCGAATTATTCAAAAATTCGATTTCGGTCGATTCGCCGAATTTGCGGGAGAAATTCGATTCGATGCAAATTTATTCGCCGCGAATTTAACTTATTTAAAGGGTTTCTAGGCTTCAGAGAGCCTTTATATTAGTGCAGAACACTGTACCTTTAATTTAAATGCCCTTGGAGTCTGCTGGGGAAGAGAAATAATACTGTCAGTCAGTATGACATGCAGATGAGTGCCGTCGATCTTAGAATCACCGCACACTTCACTCATTTGGGCAGTCACGGGGCACGACGAAGAAGAAGAAGAAGAATGAAAAGAAGAATGAAAAGAAGAAGAAGAAGAATGAAAAGAAGAAGAAGAATGAAAAGAAGAAGAAGAAGAATGAAAAGAAGAATGAGAAGAGGAATGAAAAGAAGAATTAAAAGAAGAATGAGAAGAATGAAAAGAAGAATGAAAAGAAGAAGAATGAAAAGAAGAAGAAGAAGAATGAAAAGAAGAATGAAAAGAAGAAGAAGAATGAAAGAAGAAAAAGAAGAATGAAAAGAAGAATGAAAAGAAGAAGAAGAAGAATGAAAAAAAGAATGAAAAGAAGAAGAAGAAGAATGAAAAGAAAGAAGAAGAAGAATGAAAAGAAGAATGACAAGAAGAAGAAGAAGAATGAAAAGAAGAAGAAGAAGAATGAAAAGAAGAAGAAGAAGAATGAAAAGAAGAATGAAAAGAAGAAGAAGAAGAAGAAGAATGAAAGAAGAAGAAGAAGAATGAAAAGAAGAATGACAAGAAGAAGAAGAATGAAAGAAGAAGAATGAAAAGAAGAAGAAGAAGAATGAAAAGAAGAATGAAAAGAAGAAGAAGAATGAAAAGAAGAAGAAGAAGAATGAAAAGAAGAATGAAAAGAAGAAGAAGAAGAATGAAAAGAAGAAGAATGAAAATAAAAGAAGAAGAAGAAGAATGAAGAAGAAGAAGAAGAATGAAAAGAAGAATGAAAAGAAGAAGAAAGAAGAATGAAAAGAAGAATGAAAAGAAGAAGAAGAATGAAAAGAAGAAGAAGAATGAAAAGAAGAAGAAGAATGAAAAGAAGAAGAAGAAGAATGAAAAGAAGAAGAAGAAGAATGAAAAGAAGAATGACAAAAGAAGAAGAAGAATGAAAGAAGAAGAATGAAAAGAAGAAGAAGAAGAATGAAAAGAAGAATGAAAAGAAGAAGAAGAAGAATGAAAAGAAGAAGAAGAAGAATGAAAAGAAGAAGAAGAAGAAGAATGAAAAGAAGAATGAAAAGAAGAAGAAGAAGAATGAAAAGAAGAAGAAGAATGAAAATAAGAAGAAGAAGAATGAAAAGAAGAAGAAGAAGAATGAAAAGAAGAATGAAGAAGAAGAAGAAGAATGAAAAGAAGAAGAAGAAGAATGAAAAGAAGAATGACAAGAAGAAGAAGAAGAATGACAAGAAGAAGAATGAAAAGAAGAAGAAAAGAAAAGAAGAAGAAGAATGAAAAGAAGAAGAAGAAGAATGAAAAGAAGAATGAAAAGAAGAAGAATGAAAAGAAGAAGAAGAATGAAAATAAGAAGAAGAAGAATGAAAAAAGAAGAAGAATGAAAAGAAGAAGAAGAAGAATGAAAAGAAGAATGAAAAGAAGAAGAAGAAGAATGAAAAGAAGAAGAATGAAAAAGAAGAAGAAGAAGAATGAAAAGAAGAAAGAATGAAAAGAAGAAGAAGAAGAATGAAAAGAAGAATGAAAGAAGAATGAAAAGAAGAATGACAAGAAGAAGAAGAAGAATGAAAAAGAAGAATGAAAAGAAGAAGAAGAAGAATGAAAAGAAGAATGAAAAGAAGAAGAAGAAGAATGAAAAGAAGAAGAAGAAGAATGAAAAGAAGAATGAAAAGAAGAAGAAGAAGAAGAATGAAAAGAAGAAGAAGAATGAAAATAAGAAGAAGAAGAATGAAAAGAAGAAGAAGAATGAAAAGAAATGAAAAGAAGAAGAAGAAGAATGAAAAGAAGAAGAAGAAGAATGAGAAGAATGAAAAGAAGAAGAAGAAGAATGAAAAGAAGAATGAAAAGAAAAAATTTGAAAAGAAGAAGAAGAAGAATGAAAAGAAGAAGAAGAATGAAAAGAATAAGAAGAAGAAGAAGAATGAAAAGAAGAAGTAAGAAGAATGAAAAGAAGAATGAAAAGAAGAAGAAGAATGAAAAGAAGAAGAAGAAGAAGAATGAAGAAATGAAGAATGAAAAGAAGAAGAAGAATGAAAAAGAAGAAGAAGAAGAATGAAAAGAAGAATGAAAAGAAGAAGAAGAAGAATGAAAAGAAGAATGAGAAGAAGAATGAAAAAGAATGAAAAGAAGAATGAGAAGAATGAAAAGAAGAATGAAAAGAAGAAGAAATGAAAAGAAGAAGAAGAAGAATGAAAAGAAGAATGAAAAGAAGAAGAAGAAGAAGAATGAAAAGAAGAAGAAGAATGAAAAGAAGAAGAAGAAGAAGAATGAAGAAGAAGAAAGAAGAATGAAGAATGAAAAGAAGAAGAAGAAGAATGAAAAGAAGAAGAATGAAAAGAAGAATGAAAAGAAGAAGAATGAAAAGAAGAATGAAAAGAAGAAGAAGAAGAATGAAAAGAAGAAGAAGAATGAAAAGAAGAAGAAGAAGAATGAAAAGAAGAAGAAAAGAATGAAGAAGAAGAATGAAAAGAAGAGAAGAAGAAGAATGAAAAAGAAGAAGAATGAAAAGAAAAGAATGAAAAGAAGAAGAAGAATGAAAAGAAGAATGAAAAGAAGAAGAAGAAGAAGAATGAAAAGAAGAAGAAGAATGAAAAGAAGAAAGTATTCCAGTACAGCAAAAAGTGTATCTGCAGAGAGCTCCGCTATTTCTGACAGTTCTCTGACAGTTCCTTCACATTTACAGCGGTTGAAACATTGTATCTATTTATTTCCGAATAAAAACATCTGTATCCTAAATGGAAACAAATAGATACAATATTTCAACCGCTGTAAATGAACTGTCAGAACTGTCAGAAATAGCGGAGCTCTCTGCAGTGACACTTTTGCCGGCTGATCGGGAAAAATTTGATTCGTGCACCCGAAGTTTGCTAAAATTCGGATTCGATGCAAATCGAATTTTTCCTGAAATTCGAAACGAATTCCACTTCGCCAGGTTCGATTCGCTCATCTCTATTCATTATTAAAAATAAAAAAGTCCCCCAAAGTAGATCCTGTTGGTTATGTGTTATAGAAGACACTGGTAGTGATAGCAGAATTCAGGCTTTACTTGTGTGGCTTAAGTTACAAACATAGAGAGCACATTTCATGCAGACTGCATAACAGCAGACATGTTACAGACACATTACTTCCTGAAGAGATGATAGAGAAGAATAAAGAACCAGCAAGTTTTACACATACACAACTAGTAACCTTTAGCGTACAGTGCCATCTACTGGTCAAGTGATATTACCACAGAATACTGTATATAGTACATTATAGTACATGCTGTTGTATTCCCAACAGATCCAACATTAGTCACGATGCCCTCCGCTGCCGCTACCCTAAAGCAGAAAAAGAAAACTACTCCCGCCGTCTGACATCTGTACCCCCCAAAGACAGTTCTTAAATACTGTCATGATGTTACAAGGGAGAGGTAGTCACCCCACCCCTTGTGATGTCATCCTGCCCTGTGATTGGTCAAAGCATTGCACCTGATCTGTGGTCAGGTGTATTGCTTTGATCAATCACAATGAACTGTCAGGGCGCAGTGCACTGTGGGGCATGGCGGGTGAACACACAAGCGGCCCATGTTCGAGTGGAAACATCCCTACTAAAAAATCACATGGTTACTCGCGTGGTCCCATGATAGGTTGTCACCTGTGCACTAAGTCCATGCGTGACATTTCCTGGCTGCTAAATATTCCACGCTCAACTGTTAGTGGGATTATAACAAAGTGGAAGCAACTGGGAACAACAGCCACTCAGCCACCAAGTGGTAGGCCACGTCACATGACAGGGCGGGGTCAGCGCATGCTGAAGCGCACAGTGCGCAGAATTCGCCAACTGTCTGCAGAGTCATTAGCTAAAGACCTCCAAACTTGGTGTGGCCTTCAGATGAGCCCCAACAACAGTGCATAGAGAGCTTAATGGAATGGGTTTTCATGGCTGAACAGCGTTGGATGCCATGGTGTAAAGCACGCCGCCACCAGACTCTAGAGCAATGGAGACATGTTCTCTGGAGTATTGAATCATGCTTCTCTGTCTGGCAATCCAATGGATGTGGGTTTAGTGGTTGCCAGGAGAACGGTACTTGCCTGACTGCATTGTGCCAAGTGTAAAGTTTGGAGGAGGGGGATTATGGTGTGGGGTTGTTTTTCAGGTATTACGTTTGACCCTTTAGTTCCAGCGAAAGGAACTCTTAAGGAGTCAGCATACCAAGACAGCTCTGAGCAAAGACAGTGGGCATTCAGGGCCACTCAGCCATGCCTGCACACCTGTGAAATTAGGACCTAAAATCATGTACACAGCACATGATTGCTGCATGCTAGTATGCAAAGTGTGGATGCAGTGGAGCAAAGCACACCACCACTGGACTCTAGAGCAGTGGAGACATGTTCTCTGGAGTGACCAATCACGCTTCTCTGTCTGGCAGTCCAATGGATGTGTCTGGGTATGGCAGTTGCCAAGAGAACAGTACTTGCCTGACTGCATTGTGCCAAGTGTAAAGTTTGTGGTGGAGGGGGGATTATGGTGTGGGGTTGTTTTTCAGGGGTTGGGTTTTGCCCCCTTGTTCCAGTGAAGGAAACTCCTAAGGCACCAGCATACCAAGACATTTTGCACAATTTCATGCTCCCAACTTTGTGGGAAGAGTTTGGGGATGGCCCCTTCCTGTTCCAACATGACTGCCCACCAGTGCACAAAGCAAGGTCCATAAACACATGGATGAGTTAGTTTTGGGTGGAGGAAATTGACTGTCCTGCACAGAGTCCTGACCTCAACTCGATAGTACACCTTTGGGATGAATTAGAGTGGAGACTGTGAGCCAGGCCTTCTTGTCCAACACTCCTGAACCTTGTGAGCAGCCTTCCCAGAAGAGTTGAAGCTGTTGCAGCTGCTAATGGTGACTCAATATTAAATCCTGGTACAATTTTGTAATTGTACGTAATGATCCTTGGTACAGGCACTATTTAAGAAAGGTCAGAGGTCTCCCAGTGGAAAAATATTTGGATGTCACATGCTGACAATGAACCAGGGTTGTCCAGTATTGTGGTGAGTAGATTGTAAAATTTAGACAGCTGAAATTTGGTCATAGCAGACTGCTAGATCTTTCTTTCACAAAGTTGTATTGAATTTTCAGCACAGAAAATGACAGAGGTATCACTTATTGACCTCTAACAAACAGTAAGAGTAATAACAAAAGGCCAAGATATCAAATACAAAACCTGATAATGAGGTTACATCTGATTAAACAGACAAAAAAGTCTAATGTTAATATAAAAAAAAGATGTGTTCTGAGTAATATATAAAAGTAAAGATATAAGTTAAGTGAACACATTGCATGAGACCAGTATACTTCATCTAGAGAATCCAAACACGTATTGAGAGACCAAAGGTATAAGAGTGCTCAGTGCATCTCAAGGAAGTGCTGGATTTTCCAGAAACAGATTTTGATATAAAACTTTGAACCAATGATGGTCAAGAAGATAGAGAAGGGGTGAAATGAAGAGAAGGAGAGAAGACCGCAATTAGGTGTATCTTTGAGGATGTCCTATTGCTCCCAACTAAAGAGCCCAGGGCTCCCAGATATTCTCAAACTGTTTAACTTTATCAACTGTGAGGGATTAGCCCAGTATCGGGTTGTGCTTGACCCCCTGGATGAGTCAGAGTACGGTGAAAGAGGCTCAGCACAACAGCAGGATCTTAGTGAATAAAGTTGTGCTTTATTTACAAGGCTGGTGAACACAAGGTACAGTGAGCCTGTTTGGCTCATTGATTATTTCATTAGCTCAGCTGTAGTGAGTTAAGGGCTCTGAGCTCTATAAAACTCCCAGGATGCTTAGGGAGAATGCTCTAACCTGGAACCAGTTTGCTGTGCAGGACAGACTGGGAAGCAACCAAACTATATTGCGATGAGAGGAAATCTGTGGGATTTTGGACTGTGTGAACACTCTGGGGTTTATTTACTAAAGCTGGAGAGTGCAAAATCAGACTCACTTCTGCATAGAAACCAATCAGCTTCCAGGTTTCATTGCCAAAGCTTCATTTAACAAGCTGAGGTTAGAAGCTGATTGGTTTCTATGCAGAAGGGAGTCTGATTTTGGACCCTCCAGCTTTACTAAATCTCCCCCTCTGTGTCTGAGCAGTGATAGGCTGTTTCCAGACAGGTAGATAGGGGCCTGTGTTTTCAGTTAGATGCCCAGTGTGGCAAGGCTTTATTTTCTGTTGTTATTTGTTTTGCTCAGCTGTAGTGAGTTAGGGCTCTCAACAAATAGTGTATATATTTTTGTCTGTTTGTGTTGATTAGTTCTCACCTCCTGTTGCACTCTTTTTATGACTGTGGCCTGTGTCTGGTCTGTGTTTGAGAAACATCCCCCGAATTCATGTGATCCGTATCAGTTTCCTAATTGGGGCGGAGAAGAGTGCTAATCTGACCATCACCCTATAAATTTAGATCAGCTCATGGGGGGAAGTCACTGACGGGGGGGGGGGGGGGCAGAGTCACAGATGGGGTGCAGTTTTTGTTGGAGTGCAGAGACACAGTTGAACACAGCAGTTGAACTAAAGCAGGTTAACTCAAGCAGCAGGCAGATACAACAACAAGAAACTCTACTGCATGCTGGATGGACTTCAAGCAAACACCCCTGGGAAGCATCTCTTACAAGTCTGAGTCCCACTCCGTGTACCATTTTAATATGTCCCCTCTACTCCTCCTTTTCATATTACTATCCTGCGTTCCCAAAATCTCACTTCTTTACCCCTCTGCTCCACCCCAAAACCTATACATCTCACCCTCACTGCTACCATCTCCCTACTACTGCTCTTATCACCTCCTGCTAATACCTTACTCTCCTGCTGACCCAAACACCAGGACTGGAAGGCATGTACACTCGTGTACATCCCGCTCCCATCTTACTTTCCTCACCCTTCTTCTTCTTCTAACCTCTAGGGATATCTCCCCAAACTCTGGTCCTCCACTATTTCACCCCCACACCAGACACCCTCTTTCCTCCAGGAATAGCCGCAATCCCCTCAATTTAATATCAGTCTCCGTGCTCCAAAAAACCACCCTTCCTTTTTCATGTGCACTCTGGAATGCCGGCTCTGTCTGTAATAAGCTCACCTCTGTCCATGACCTTTTTGTCTCCCACTCCCTTAACCTACTAGCAATTACAGAAACCTGTCTCCAAGCAGCAGATTCTTCTTCTCCCGCAGCACTTTCCTATGGAGGCCTCCTCTGGACCCACTCACCCAGACCCAGTGATCGGAAAAAAGGAGGGGTTGGTTTGCTTCTATCCCCACTGAGCACCTTTCAAGTCCTCCCTAACCCTCCCTCTCTATCCTTCTCTTCTTTCGAGACTCACTGCATCTGGCTATTTTCTCCCATTTCTCTGGGAATTGCAGTGATCTATCGGCCTCCTGGACCGGTGTCGCGCTTTTTTGATGATTTCTCGGCCTGGCTACCCTACTTTCTCTCCTCTAAACTACCCACTAACATTCTCTGAGATTTTAACATCCCTATTAATGTCAACAATGTGGCTACATCTCAACTCTTCAACATAACCTCATCTTTTGCATTAGCACAATGGATATAGTCCTCCACTCACTCTGATGGGAATACATTAGACCTTGTTTTCTCCCCATCTTCGCACTCCCTACAACCTCACAAACACCCCCTTTCCTCTCTCTGACCACAATCTCATCACCTTCACAGTGTCCTCGTCTTCAAACACTTATCCCTCCAAGCAGCAATCAATTACCCGCAGAAACCTTCACAACTTGAACCCGGCTCCTTTCCACTCTGCAACTGACCAACTCTATGATAGAATCTCTCCCCTGTCCTGCCCTGACCTACAACAGTTCGCTTTCATCCACATTAGACTTGCTTGCTCTTCTAACAACACTAAGCATCAGGCCCCGACCATTACAACTCTGGCAGACTGACTTCACCAGAAATCTTAAGCGACATAGTCGTGCACTGGAGCGATTGTGGTGTAAAACCAAATCTCACCAAGCATTCACCCAATATAAATTTTTCTTTCTTAACATACAATTCCTCCCTTCATGCTGCCAAACAAACCTACTTTGTCACTCTCATCAATAGCTTGTCATCCAGTCCTCATCGTCTCTTCTCTACTTTTAACTCTCTACTTTCTCCACCTCCACCCAGTACCTCAGTCACTGCTCACGAGATTGCAAATCATTTCAAAAACAAGATTTATGCATTTCGTAGGCCCTCTTCAGTCTATTATTATTATTATACAGGACTTATATAGCATAGACAGTTTGCTCAGCGCTTTACATCATGGAGGGAGACAGTACAGTAACAATACAGTTCATTACAAGAGGGGTTAGAGATCCCTGCTCCTTGGAGCATACAATCTAGGAGGGAGGGGATAGTGGTACAAGAGGTAATTAGCTGTGGGGGATGGAGTGGTAGGAGGAGTAGTGGATTCCAGTATTAGCTGGGGGTCGGGGTAGGCTTCCCTGAAGAGATGGGGTTTTCAGAGTGCGCCTAAAAGTCAGTCTATCATGAATGCTGCTTCCAGACTCATCCACCTTACTAACCGTTCTGTATCAGCCACTCCTCTCTGCCAATCCCTCCACTGGCCTCCACTCAGTGTCCTCCACCCCGCTTTGGGGCCAAGGTGGTGCCAAAGGCTTTTATAATAGATGGATAAGAGGCCATCAGGACCCAGGTCTAATCCCTTTTTCAAGTGTTTGATGACATATAGAATCTCCTCCTCTGTAAAAGGCTGTTCAAGACCGTTACGATACCTAATTGTTAATTTTGGGAGGGGTATATTGTCCAAGAAGGAGGTAATGAAGGGTTGGTATTCAGAATTTTAAGCCTTAAAAAGACTTGTATAGAAATCATGAAAGGCAAGGCTTCCCATGGAGGTGCATATTTTATGTAGTGAAAATTAGGGGTTTTGGTTGTCAATCTAGCCACCAATATTGACCCTATCTTGTCACGCTCATAGTAAAAACACAGTGAAGTGCCTTTTCCACCTCTGTGGTCAGTTCTTTGTTCAGGGATAATCTAACTGAATCTAGTTTGGCTAGGATTCCTTTGTTGGGTTATGTTTAAAGCTGATACATTTAAATTCCCCTTCTAGCCTAAGCCGATCCGCTTGGTGCTTTTTCTTAATTTGAGAAGCTAGTTGGATCAACCGTTCTCTAATGACAACTTTGTGTTCTGCCTATAGAGTCTCTGCTGAAGTCCCTTCAATATTGTTCAAAAGGAAATATTCCCCCAAAGCCCCTTCAATCTCCACCTTCCTTACGTGGTCACTAAACAGGGATTCATTAAGTCTCCATTGTAGTGGGCCTCAAAGGACCTGCTGCTTGTTGCAAATCTATCTGTACCAGAGAATGGTCA